GTAAAGTTTCATGATTGACACAGCGACGAATTTTGGCTAGCATCCCATTTAATTTACGCAATTCCACCGCTAATTTTTTAAGATGAGAAGAAAAGAATCGATTTGAGTCAATTATGATTCAAATATACTTTTATAAAACTACAGAAAAGATTTTTTGACTAAATTTTAGGTTTTTATACACTTTAGATTGACTTAATTTTTGGAAATGGTGGGTTTAGTTTTGTTGGTTTTAAAACTAAGTTTGTTAGAACGCAGCCATTAAAGTATATTGGATAAATCATGTTGGTATCATTTTTTCATGAGTAAGTAGTGTATGAATTTTTTCATGAGTAAGTAGTGTATTTCATGAGTATGTTGTTGGTATGATCGGTATGTTTGTTATTGTTTGTATGAGTATGTATGTTGGTATGGTCGGCTGTTGAAAATTTTAGAGAGATGGTAAAATCACTTATAAAAATAAGAAAATATAATTGTCCTAATATTGAACCTTGGGGTTTACATATAAAGCATTTTATTGCAATTTATTAAAAAGATATGATAAAAACCATGGGAAAGCATTAACTCGTAAACCGTTGTGTTCCAATTTACTTTGGAAGATGGACCAATCAATAGAATCAAAGGTTCTCCCCAAGTCAAAAAAAATTTAACATGCAAAAAGAGCTTTTCTAATAGTTTCAGTTATTTTATTAGATGCGTGAGTTGTGAAATGTTTGTTACAAAATCCATACTGATGTTTGAAGAGACATAATTCCGCTATAAATTGTTGTGCATAGCTTTTTTCAAATATTTTGCTAATGTTAGATTAAATAAAGAAATTGATCATTAGTTTATGTGGTCCATTAGAGAACCAGTTTAATGGATATAAATTATTTTGTCAATCTTAAAATCATCTCCAAAAAGTCATCAGTGTATGTGGCCTATATTTGGCTAGTTTCCATATATAGCCTACATACACAGGCCTGCGAAGACAAGTTTAGCTCACTAAAGCATCATAACCTGGTTTGCAGACTAAAAGTCAGTGAGTTTAAGAAGAACGAGTTAAAAAAAACAAGTTAAAGTCATGTTATGTTAACTGTTCTTGTTTTGCTTTCCGTGTATTTTTTGCATTGTTGAGGTTTTTTTAAAAAAGGAAATGTAGTATGAAATTTTGGAAATTCCTAATAAGTTGCAAATTTTATTCTTGGACAATTTAAATTTATTAAACAGACTTTTTGTGTTATATTTAGGTTATATTATCTATATAGTTTAGTAATTAGTAATAGACTATGAATAGGATGTCTAAAATTTTAACTGGAAAATTTATTTATTTAAATCTAATAACATTTATTATATATTATCTATTACATAAAAAAATAATATTATATAAATATTTTATTAAATTTTTTCAAATTTTTTTCATAGTCATCAAAAAACCAACGTGGTTTTTGGGGTGCATATAATGTGGTTTTTGTAGTACATTTGAAGTGTTCTATAAAATATAAGTTAGCAGTCATGCAATCATCCTAAGAGCAATTTTTTATAACAATCTTCTTCAAAAAATTAAAATTTAAAAAAGTTAAAATTCTTAACAGTAAAGAAATTATTGTTAAATTAGTTAATGTGGTTTTTGGGGTGCATAGCGAAAAAAAGAGTCAGCTTCAACATTCAAGCAAAAGAAAACAAGCGAGACATATTAAACCATACCTAACAGAAAGAACCTTATTAAGGCTTATCTTTCAATAGTAATAACTTAAAAAATATAATTTTTCTCAAAAAAAAAATTCTAGGCTCTCCTACTTTTATGTGGTTTTTGGGGTGCAAGCACCTGTGGTATTTAATTTAAAAAAAAGGCCAATTTAAGTCCGTACGTTCTCGTACAAAGAAAAATAGACTAAAGGATTTAAATTGACGTTACTCGTTTACATTTAAATGAGCACTCGCACTGAAAATGTCAACATTGCAAAATAAACAGTAAACATTTGCTGAAGTCACGAGAGTCTCGTTATTTTTTTCTACAACTAAGCACAGTGGTTAGTAAAGTCTTTTATGTCAAATAATGTGTTGAAAACAACTACCATTGAATTCTAAAAGGAATTGTTAGCCGGATTTTAAAACGTTATTTGTTCCAAGTGATTTAGGTACTATTTTATTTTTTTTTTGTTTTAATTTTTGTAATTGTGTTTGTATTTTTTTAAATTTAATAAAATTATTAGGACAGTTTAGCGTAAATCACTTTTCCAAAAAAAAAAGAGAAAAAAAAAAAGAAAGATATTTAGCGCAGATGGGCTTGATCATCAAGCCCATGTATTCATACAGTAATTAAACACTATGTATTCATACTGTAATTAAACAGTATGTATTTATACTGTACTCATACTCTATTCGTGTACTTGATTTTAAAAAAAAGTTACACGTTTATTATAAAAAAAAAATACAAGTAAACAAGTTTGGTCTTATCATCAAATTCATTATGACATAATAAATGTAATGTAAAAAAACGAATATGAATGTATTTTCATCCTATTTGTAATTTTGTTAATACTCAGTAAATGTAATCATATTGAGTATGAATACATTCATATTATTTGTATAATATTGTATATCTCACTTTTTCTTTTTTTAAATTATTCTTTTTATTAAATGAAATATTAAATTCAACACAGCTAAAAAATAACAAGCATTTATTCATCTTCATATCATGTTACAAAGTAATTTGATATGAATGTTAATGTGTGCTTGTTATTTTCTAGTATAATCTTTACTTAATCTTTGCTTGACACAGTTCCAAAATTTTACTCAAGCAGATTTAAAATAACTCAAACAGCTTTAAAATAGAAATTTATATTTCTTTGTTTTTAATTTATCTAATCTTGATAAGTTGATAACAATCCTTTGTTTAAAATATGACAAAGATCTTTTGTTTGTGTGTAAAAGATTTTAAATATTAGGTTTAAAATATATTAAAGAAATTCATTATATTACCTTTATTTTAAAATTTTTTACTTTTAAAATGAATTTTATTAGTCAAGTAGTTACAATAGTTATCCAACTTTTAATTTAAAATTAGTTTTTGTTATTGCATTTAATATTTAATAAGTTGTTTATGAGTAACTGATTCCATTGTTTAGTTTTTATGTTTAGTAGATCACAATTATAATTTTGTAATTTAAATACATTAAAAGACATCCATTAAATATTATTGTATAATCATTCTCTGTTGGTTGATAAATTATAGTGTTGGCTTATAATCTGATTATTAAACTGCATTGATTCTTTTTAAATAAAAATATACAAAATCAACTTTTAAATTATAAAAAAAGTAACAAAATATTTTTTTGAATTCAATTCAAGGAACACAGATTTCTTAGATTATGACATACAAAACAAAACAGAATAGATTTTGAAATGTCTTTTAAGCCTAATCTAGAAAAATACTACATATAGAATTCTAGAGAAACATAAGTTTCTCTAGTTTACAAGCAAGTTACAAGCCTTCTTTTTAAATATGTTTATGTGCTGCTTTTTTAATATGTTTTTGAACAAGAAAGGACATATTTAGATGTCTCTGCATAAAAATTATAACAGTATTCTATATAAAGATAAGTAAAAGCTTTTTAAAGGATTGATTTAAAAATAGGAGTAAAAAAAACAGAGCGAGACAAAGAAAAATAAACTTAAAGATGACAATCATGATAAGCTGCTGCAACCAGCTAATTAAAATGTTGTGGTTTTATATCAAGACTGGATTATACATTTATAATGATGTAATTATATATTTAGATTATATTGTCATATCATTAGCAAATAAATCTAATTTAGAGCACTTGGAGAAGAAATGTTTAAAAGTTTTAAAACTTGAATTAGACACAACAAATCTAAGAACATATGAAGAATGATTTTGGTCAAGTCACTATTACAAGTTTTTGTTATATCTAGAAAAAAAAAACCTCACTTTATCTATTTCATCTAATGCAGATTAGAGCATTTTTTTTTTTAATTATCAAATCATCAGTACAATGACAGTATTGAAGTATTTATTATATTATAAATTTGTTAAATTTTAACCATTTGTTATGTAAAATAAAAGTATCGAAATATTTATTACAATAGAAATTTGTTAAATCTCAACAAATTTTTTAAATTTACAGCTATGATTAGAAATAGGAATCTAGATTACAATTATAGTTAGAGCTAGGGGTCTTACTAAAACGTAAGTAAGGTTTTTAAAGCTCATGGTTTTTCTTAAAATGAGTATATGAATATTTAAACTTTTTAGCTTCCTTTATTTTAAATTTTATGGTAATATAAGTTAACCAAGGAGGCATTGCTTTAAGTTATTTTATTTTGTTTACAGCTCAATAAAAGGAGGTTCCAAATTTTACAATAAACACTTAAAATAAAATCTATTTTTTGTGTATATTTCTCTTTGACATGGTATAGACATAAGTTTTTTAAGAAATGCTTTTGTACTTGTGTACGAAAGCATTTCTTAAAAAAACAAAATTAATTTTGTATAATTGATCTGAGACCAATTTTTTTTGTATATTTTATTTTCAACAAGAAATTTAGTGTGTATAAAAGTACCTCTTTTTTTTAAAAAAATATTTTTTGCATGGATATGAAATCCTTCATAAGCATTTAATACTGGTAAATAACATCTCAGTGAAAAGATAAACATAAAAATAAAGTTTTTGATATATGACTATATATAATACATATTTAACAGATTATTATGTACATCGAATAGTTAAACAAGATATTCTAAAACTAAGTAAGTTAAACAACATATTCTAAAAGTAACTAAAGCAGCAATTTTAAAAGCAATTAAAACTAGAACTACTTTTTACCTTACACTGGGCCTTTTTCACTTTACTATGGGTCTTTTTTCACCTTACTATGGGCCTTTTTCACCTTACTATGGGCCTGCATATATAATTTTTATATATTTTTTTATAAAGATATTTTCTTGTTATGAGAATGTTTCTTATCTTTTTGTAAGTTTCTTATATGATTTATTAAAGGTTTATACAATAAAATGGGAAATAGTCTATTTAGCAGCTCAGTTAAAAAAGAAGGTATATGTTCTTTTTTAGTTATTTTTTTTATTTTTTTTCTTATTTCAATGATTGTAATTTAAAACTTTAAGTTATAAATCTGCAAACAATATAATAGCAAAATCTTATAAATTAGTAAATAGCAAAGATTATTAACACAAATCTATTAAGAAACAGGGGTGGACAAGACTAGTTGCATTTCTTTTACTCTTTGAGCTCTGCAGTTCTATCGACATGTTTCTCTTAAATTAAAGTGTAGTCTTGCAGAGATTGAATTAAGAAAACTTTTTAGTGACATTTGGTGATATAAAAAACTTCTTTAGGGCACTTCTAAGGCCTTAAAAAAAAAGTTCCTTTTTACTCCATACTGGTGTAATTTGGATCAGTTTATAATTTTATAACTATAATTCTCTAAAATTGATTTTTTTTAATGTATTACTAAGTAATACATTAAAAAAATTTACTTTTGCAAACAATTTAAAGCCATACAGTTGATTTCATTTCAAGTTGGTAGTCAATAATACTTTGTGCAATAAATCGATTTGAGTTAAACATGAGACTTGGTTTTTTCAAATTTACAGCCAAACTTTATAATAATAATTCAAACTACTAATTAGTGTTTCTAACAGGGCGAGTTTGCTTAAATCATTTTAAACACATCTACCCTTTTAAAAAACAAAGATTTTTGTCTGATATAAAGTGGATATTTATCATAAATATCCACTATATATCAGACAAAAAAACCAAAAAGGGTCATCTTTAAAAACCAAGAAGCTTTTTAAAGATGAAACCTTTTGGTGTTATAAATTCTTATTGTTAAGTGCATTATAGTGACTATGTTATTTTTATCCTTGATATAAAAAAAAAACATTGTTACAATCAAATTATATTTTATAATGTCAATCAAATACTTAGATGTACAAAGTTCAAGTCTGGTGAACTTTGATGTAGTTATGAGAACACACTTTTTTCTTGACCAAAACCTATGACAACTGTTGTACATATAGTTATCTAACTAACTTTTGTACAGATAGTTACCTAATTAAGCTATGATGACTGTTGTACTGATTGCATTTAACTTCAATTTCTTTTACAAAGTTTGTTCATTTTAACATAAGTTTCACTTTAGTTAAGGTGGTCCTATACTAAAAAAATCAAAGTTTTAAAAAAACACTCATATTTTATGATTTTCATATAAAAAATAGTATTTTATATTTAAAGCACAGTAAAGAAAAAAAAAAAATTTTTTTTGGTCAAAATTTTGGATCCATGGATCCTAAATATGGACTACATGCTGCAAACATAAACAGCCTGTAAACTAATAATGGTGTGATCATGAAATTTTCACAGCTTTTCAATATCAGATGATTACACTCACCCTGCCAAATCAAATAAATTAACAAACTATTGAAGCTTTCGTAAGAAAATTGATTTAAGGCCTAAAAAAAAGCCCTGAAAAGGCTTAAAACTTAGACCTTAATTTTAGAACTAGTTACCTAACATGAATTCTTTTGTTTAAGTGGAAGTGCATATATATAATAAACAACTCATACTCATTTTAACACAATCAAATCAAACAAAGCAATTTCAAGATATTTATCGCAGCGTGCAAAAAACTCGTATATTGAGAAAAACAATAATAAAGATTTTCAAAAAAAAAAAAATTAATATATATAAGGTCAAAAACTGTTAAAAACAAAATGACTTATTTGCATTCTTTTTTCTGTGTTTTTAAGCATTATTAAAAACACAGAAAACAGAAAATTGTGAAAACTCTATTATTTGAAAAACATTTAACCAAAATAGAATTATTCAAATAATGAAAATAAGCTTGAACATAAAAAGATAATACACAATAACTACATTAAAAAATACAATAAATGCCTTAACATAAATTTAATTTAAAAAGTAACAAAAAAGTAATATCTAAAAAACTCCTGCTTCATAAAATGTACCTTCACTTTCATTTACTTTATCTGTAAAACCTTTTTGTTCTGCACAAAGCAGCTTTCTTCTTTGTTTTATTGAGTCAAGTGACTTTTTTCCCATTATCTGTATTCTTTCTTGGACTATTTTGGTACAGTACTCAGTAGCAAATGTACGTAGTATAACATTTAAATATTTAAATATGTTTAATATACCAGAAATACAATCATTAAATGAAATTACTGTTGATGCAACACTTATTTCTAAAGTAGTACGGCAAACAAAAATCTCTTTAGGGCAACGCTTCCAAATGATTGCAATAATATATTCATTTTAGTTTTGAGTTTTGCCATGTAAACATCTACAAAGAAGCTTATCATCACTAAAGTCAAGAAAAATGGATTTAATTTCATCTCTAATAATTAGTATTTCAGATTTTTCCTTGTAAATTTTTGTGTTATCAATTTTATCACACTGATATTTACACCAAGAATCATTAGTTCGAGGGCACATAAAGTGTCGTAATTCTAAACTCAAAGCA